CCTCCTCCTCCTCCCTCCTCCTCCTCCTCCTCATCATCATCATCATCATCATCATCATCATCATCATCATCATCATCATCATCATCATCATCTCTGACAACTACAGGGACACTGCGTGTGCAAGTGGAGCGAAGGGACCAGCAATCGCAGATTGCACACACAGCCACCGATCTCTCAGCATACATCCCGCGCCACGATGATGATGATAATGATGGCGATGATGATGATGGCGATGACGATGATGGTGGTAGTGGTCGCGACCGGCTAGGGAGGAACGCAGAGGGTGGGAGCATGCACGTGCACTTTGCATTTCCAGTGGACGACAGCAGTGCGACGAGCGGTGGCGGTGACAAAAGTGCGGGTCAAGGTGCGTACTGGTGCTGAAAGTGGTTGTGCGACTTGGTGGTGTGATGGCCGTGATTGTGGGGCATGTTAATCTCAGATAGGCATGCATGCAGGCATGTTTATGCACACACTCACACAACCACACACTTACTCTCTCTCTCTCTCTCTCTCTCTCTCTCTCTCTCTCTCTCTCTCTCTCTCTCTCTCTCTTTCTGACTCACGCGCTCACGCACACACACACGCACACACACACTCACACCCGCTCACGCACACGCACACACACACTCACACACGCACACATACGCACACGCTCATACGCCCGCGCGCTCACTGTCTCCCTTGTGCAGACACGTGGCCAGAGGCGATGGACCAGATGGAGCCGCCAACGTTTGAGGACTCACACATCCGGCACTCGACGACGGGGTGAGCAGGCACCAAATATGATTGGGTGCATGATAATTTTGAATGACCATCAGCCATATGACCACGTCACGCCATTGCTTTCATTCGCAGCAGCACTTGTGCCCCTACTTCTCCTGCTGCAGACCCCGTGCCTTTGACTCACACGCCCATCATCATCATCATGACCATCACCACCACCACCGAGGCAGGGACCGGCTCGTGTTTGTCGGTGGAGAGCGCGTGCCACCACCGCCATCGCGCCGTGCACCGACACGCCCAACACCAACACCAGCAGCCACACGCCCAGCACCAGCACCGCGGCCACGGCCACGACCGCGCAATCGCCCATCAGCTGGAGGGGCGTCGTCATCGTCGTCGTTGCTGTTGGACGCGTCGGGCGGTGGAAGTGGTGCTGCTGCCGATTCCATGGACGTGACCATTCTCAACAATGCAACACACGTACGCCCGTGGAGAGAGAGAGAGAGTGTGTGTGTGTGTGTGTGTGTGTGTGTGTGTGTGTGTGTGAATTTGTCTGTTGTCTGTGTGCGTGTGTGTGTTAGTGCGTGTATATGTGTGTGTGCGTTAGTGCGTGTATATGTGTGTGTGACTTGATGTGTGTGAATTTGTCTGTGTGACTTGTCTGTGTTTGTGTGTGTAGGTGTGTGTGTGTGTGTGTGTGTGTGTGTGTGTGTGCGTGTGAGTGCGTGATTGATCTCCTTCATTCACACATGTGTTGCTATATTCCCTCTGCGCTGTTTTGGGTTCCTGGTGCGCCCGTCACGCCATCATATTGTCAGGAGCACATGTCGTTCACGGCCTTCGCCGCCACCACCGTTCGCGACATCAAATCGTATCTCCTGCGCGCTTTCGATATTCCCATCGACTGCCAGGTTCGTGCTGGTGTGTGTGTGGGGGGGGGGGGGGTGTGGGTGTCTGTGTACGTGCAAGCGATGTGCATCCATCAAATTGCAAATTCCCACAATCGATGCCCTCACCACGACCATCATCCACCACTGCCGGCAGGTGCTGACGCTCGGGGATACGGAGCTGACGAGCGGTGCGCGTGTGTTTGCGCTGGGAATGAACGCGGACGACGTCATTGTCCTCAACACCCGCGACTACACCGCAATGTGAAAAGCGCGCAAACGCACACACACACGCGCGCGCGCGCACACACACAAACACACATTCACACATCAACGCACTCACACACTTACACACACACACACACACACACAGTCACATTCCCACATTCACACACACACATTCTCTTCATTATGGGCGCATTTCGCCATTGTTACTGCCGCTTGCTGTGGTACCATTTCGGTCTGTTCGATTTGCTGTTTTCTTATTTGCCCGATATGGATGGATGCGCGGCACTTGTTGGTGCTTGCATAAACGACGCAACCAAAGAAAGTTGGCGTTTGTGGAGAGAAAGGGGGTGGGGGAGAGAGGTGGGGTGCGAGAAATGGCTGCTGATGCAGCAGCCAACGACGACGAAGGCGTGGAGACCAAGAACGATATAGTTCCCCCCGAAACAGAACAACACATGTGCAGCGAGCAGGGCTGCAACGAACATCAGCAGCAAGAGCATGTGTACACAAACGACGACACATAACCAAAGAGGAAGACGGCAGGAACATTACAGCTGCAGCAAGAGAACAGACGTGACGAGAAACCATCACAAGCTGACAAACGCGCTCACGGACGAACAAGGGCGCGTTTAAACAGACTCAGACACACACACACACAC